AAATTATGAAAAACACAAACTGACATCTACAAATAAACAGTATAGGGTCCGGTCAAGTGGTAACGGAGGGAAACAGAGGCAGATTTTTGACATTCAAATGTCTCTTATTCAGAAACTAGAGGGACTATTGAAATAAGTAAAGTATCAGAATGTAGGAAAGAGTTACACTCCAACAGGGTCAAGTTAAACCTGTGATATTCTTTCAAGTTGTTGACAAAAAATGTAAAAACTCATGTCGGTAACGGAGGGAATGAAATATGCAGCACTTTTTGAGCAATAAATCCAAACAGTGATAACTCTTGGTTCTCACTTACATATCCTTAACAAACTGGTTTGAATATTTGCTTCATATAGTTTTCTACCTTATGGTACAAGATTAGGTTGACAAACCTCTTACTTTTTGACTCATGAGATTTTTTTTTATTAAGAAAGGTCATGGTAAAAGGGAAAAGTAACGGAGGGAAAATTGTGCAACAAGTAGAAGGTGCATGGATTTTACATCATTTGTTGCTTTTTTCTTCCGAATACTTTAATATTACTTCAAAATGAAAGGAAACTATTTCTATGAAATATGTCAGTCCTTCCAAGCAAATTTTTATCATTTTAAATACATAAAAAAAAAAAAAATCATGTACATCAACAGTTGAATAACACAAGATATGATGAAATGACATGATTTGCAATTTGGGAAATAATTTTTGTTCCATGTTTCATACATGGTCTGTTTAAAACGTATGGAACTTTAGAACCAAAAATGGTACAGAAAAAAGTTGAACAGTTTCATAAACTAGAGTACATATGTATCTGGTGAATACATTTTTATATCAGATGCATTAACTTGAATTTTTGGCCTTGCTGTTTACTTCTGCTTGACCGGACCCTGTAGACCATCAAATAATTAAGTCATAAAAAGAGTAAAACACTTCAACACTGGGTAAACCTTATGCCAGCACTTTCCCGCTTTAAATTTAAGTTCTTATATAAAAATATATATATATTTTATGTCAAAATAAACTTTTTCTGATACATTTCACTGTAAAATCAGTGTTTGACCACATAACTTTATTTATTTATTTATTTTAGCTCTGTAGGGAAATTCTCTGCATTTCACCCATTCTTCAGGAGCAGTGGGCAGCACATGAGGCGCCTCCATGATCTTGTCGTTAGTCTTGGTCAGGTCTTGGTGTTGTTGTTAGTCTTGGTAAGCTCGAGGATTTAACCTATGGTGCATGTTTTGGGTTGATGGGGGAAACCAGAGTGCCCAGACATAAGAACATGCAAACTCCACACAGAAACAAACTTTGAAACAAACTTTGTGAAAAAACTCCCACTAACAACATCTGTGTAACTACCTTTCATATTTATTGTCCAGTTGTTCCGGCCCAAATGTGGTCTGAGGTGAACCGACCCACCGGGTATTTGCCCAGTAGTACAGATTACCAGTTTGAGCCTGCCTATAATATTCTTTCAAATTTGGTTTCTTCTTCCAAATGCAACTAAAGTGAAAACAAATACATTTAAACAATTCCAGGCTTTATATATTAACTAGAAAAGTTGTAGCTTCTGCACACAAAAATACCACTGGCCCAAATATGACTCAGTTGAGAACAAAAGCCCACATTAAACAGCTTTGTGGTTTTTTTATCAGATCTGTCACAGCCTCAGTCAGCCAAACAGTACATTCTGTTTGGTTGTTATTTTCCATCTACGGTGTCACAAAGTCAATTAAACCGCATGAGCACCTACATGAAAGCTTCATTATGGAACGGTTTCTGATGGGTCTGCAGATATTGTTGGTTTGTTGTGGCTTTATTGCTCAAAATGACATAAAAAAAAAAAAAAAAAACATGCCGTGAGCTGGATTGTCTCTCCACAGATCTAACCTCATCTACCATGGAGATAGTCACGTTAAGTTGTAGGTCATATCATTGAGAATAGAATTTTATATGTTTTCTTTTTTCTTTTTTTACTTATTAGGCCATTATTGTTATTGACTCTGGTAATAATCACAAAAAAAAAAGAAGAAAAGCTGTGATGCGATCTGAAGTGTAGGCATGCTTTGTCTGAGGTTTTATTAGACTTTTGTTTGAGCTTTATTTGAACACAATCTGACAAAGAACTGACTTAGCTGGAACTGCAACAGATGAGCTGATTAAGCACGTCTCTCAAGTTAAAAATTATAATCAGAAGCTATCGAGCATTAACCAACAGTTTCTCAGTTACTCACATTTGTGATTTCCCATAGCCAATCATTGACTATGGAGACTTAGTTTACAGATCTGCATCAAAAACACTGCTCCATAAGCTCGATGTGGTTTATCACGCAGCCATCCGCTCTGTCACAAGTGCACTGTTGACCATGATTGCACACCATACTCTCTGGTGAAGTGTCCCTCTCTCCACACCCGCAGACAAACCCACTGGTTATTGTTCATTTACAAATGTTTCACTGGTAAAACTCCGTCCTACCTCAGCTCACTCCTGCACATCCACAGCTCCAGACGCACAGAGACATGACCCTGGTCGCTCCTAAAGAAGCTTTGGGCTGCTTCTCAGTTCAGTTCTGCAGCAAATGACTGGAACAAACTTCAGCAGACTTTAAAACTTGACCATATTTTTTCTGCACACCGCAATAGGCGAAATATCAATAATGCTGAATTCTCTTGTCTATTTTCATTCATAAATTGCACCGGATTATAAGGCCCATTAAGTGAAACAAACAGATGACGCTTGAGACTGATCCTTATCCCAGGCGTCCACGATCCATTGGCAGATCGTGGCATAATTCGCCCGGCATTGCCTCCCTGTTTTGGTGAACGTGTATTATGAATGTGAATGTGGGTGGATCATTTAAGTTTGTTTTTTTTATTTCCAGTGAGGAGGACTCAAAAATATAAAAAGAGTAATAATGTGTTTAATGCAGCTCTGTGCACATTTGTTTACGTTTAACAGAAACAAAACTTAAAATCACATGGCTCATTTGCATAAACTATAAGCTCTGAAAAAAAACAAAAAAAAAACAGCTCGCTCCTTGTGCCCCGATACCGTCAGCTTCTGTCGGACTAAACGGACACTAATCCTTGAGGCTCCTGACTACAGTAGCTGTAACACTCCGACAATCCATCAAGCGGTGCGGCTTCGTAACTTACCAAAGTCGTACTAAACCATTTTGACAGATTTTTGAGCATCATGTACCACATAAAATCGGTTCGAGGTCAGTAAGCACAACCAGAATTAATACATAAGGCGCACCGGATTATAAAGCGCACTGTCGATTTTTGAGAAAATTAAAGGATTTTACGTGCACCTTATAGTCCGAAAAATACTGTAGTTCATTTTTACCTCTGTTGATTTTTAAAAACTCCATCCAGAGTATTTTATAAGATCATTGCACATGCTTTTAACACTTTTATGTCTTTAATCTGCAAATGTTTCACTGTCTCACGTCTCTATTCACTGTTTCATGTTTCTGCTCGTGCTCTTTTTTTCTGCCTCTTGGCCGGGTTGCAAATGAGAAGGTGTTCTCAACTGACTTACCTGATAGAATATTGAGTAAATAAATACAAATTAAAATGTTTGTTGAAAATAAAACACCTAAACAGGACCATGTACACTCATATTGATCACAGACTCCTGAAAATGTGCTATTTAAATCCCTAGCAGTTTTTTCTTGAGTTTTCAGACTATCTTAAAACTTTTGTGCGCATTGTGTTACCATAATAACTCCTAAACATCCCATGGAGAGTCCCTAATTTTTCAAAACTCATTCAAAATAACACTATGATGTCATGTGAAATCCTGTTCTAGCCCACTGTGAGTAATGACGTTTTATGCGACCTACTTTTACCTGAATCTTTAATGTTGACCTCAAAAATGCAGTTGTTTTTGCACAAACTTGAGCGTTGTGAGAGGAAGGACGGTTGAGAAATGAGACTGATGCAATGTTTAACTGCAAAACTGTACGAAGAGTCCTGGAACGGATCGACCTGACGACACGGGGAGGTCTTTTGTACACGTTTATTACTGTAATAGTTCAGTGGGTTTACAAAAATGTTTCTCTGTGTACGCGAGCGAAACTTTGGACACACCCTCTCAAATGCAATGCTTTTTTTCTTCATATTTACCACATTTTACATTTTAGATACCCACAGAAGAGATCACATATATGAAGTAAGATGGAAACTGGATGTATATAACAAAGGAAAAATGTGAAATAACTGAGATTTTTGACTTGAGACTGAAAAACCCCCCCAAAAAACCTTGAATCAATAAATCTGGGTCAATAAAGTTTCTCAATCTCTGTAAAAAAAAAAATTTTTTTTAAATTTTATATTCAAATCTTCATTCTTTTTTCATTTACTTTTATTTATTTTTTTATTTATAATTTTTTTTAAAGATGCACAGTGTAACTTTTCCGGTGGAAGATCCATCAAACGCTTTTCTCTATGGAGATGATATTGCTAGAATATCATCTAGAATGTTCCAGAGTATGGCATTAAACCTTTCTATCTTCAGGGAAACCAAACCAGACCAAGTTACAGGTCAGATCTGTGGAGAGGCGACCCCGCTCACAGTCAGAACGCCTGTTTTCTAGGTATTTTTGAACTATAAAACCACCTGTAACTGAATAAATGTAATGTACAGCTGTTTAATGTCATACTGTGGAACATTCCAGGCAGAGCAATGACATCTCCATGGAAACAAGCAGGTGATGGATGCCCAACCAAAAAGTTACACAGTGCACCTTTTAACAAATTTTTAGTTATGGAGAGAAAAAGAAGAATCACGTGGACAGAAAATATTGAAAAGCCTTTTATTTTTATTTTCATATCTTCTCTCCTGAATAGCTTTTTCATGAGGATCCATTTTTTAAGTTTTGAATTATTTTGAGATTATTTTTTGTTTGCTACATTCCATATATGTCCGTTTATAGTTGTCAGGGAATTCTACCCAAAAGACATCAAAAATACATTAAATAAAGACACACCAGAATGAGACGGTTACAATTTATACTTGCGCAAGGAGAGTCGTGAACACTGTCTGTCAGCTCCCTGACCTACTCTGCCCCACAACTCTCCGAACACCCATTTATTCAAAATCATGACACAGATAAGGTACAATACATGACATCATATCACACAGTGTTTACATGATCACATACTAACAATCTTTTAGTCTAAACTGCCCTCCCATTTCACACTTGATTACAGGCTCCAGGTGATAAACAATTTGGCCAGTTTTCTCCCAAAAACGTATGCTAACCACATGAGGGGAAAAACCCTTAGCTGTCTTCTCATGGGTGACTCAGTAGATTGGCTTAATGAGTCAAGAGTTCTTGTACTAGGACATATGATATACATATGGAAAAACCCAAAAACGCAATTGTTGATGACTTTAATCACACACACAAATGATTATGATTTTAAATGATTCATAATATTTAAAATAACACAGAAATTCTTTCACAATAGTTTTGATGTTTTAGTGCAAATCTACAATGGAAATAATCATGGAAATAAAGAAGAAACATAAATGAAAAAATGTGGCTGATTGTATAAACTGAAATTATACTACAACTTATTTACATATAAGAAAGAAACACACCTTAAAGTTTTAAAGAGACAGTTTGGAATTTTGGACATAGGGCCTCATTTCCTAGTGAGTCAGAGTACTGTAGATGTGTGAAGACACCTTTTGAAATAATCCATCCAGTCCTTGTATTTGGAGAGGTTGCTGATGCTAGGCTAGCGCATGTCAATGGCCATAGTTAGCCTGCCACTAAAAACCCACTCTTACCCACTCCACAAAACACCTGAAGCAAATCTGCTATTACACCAGACTGTCGATGTAAATGTCCAGTTATGGCCACATTCATATCGTCACAACTAACTAGAGCAGAGTAAAATTCCGCTGCTGCTGAAAAAATAGTCCCTCAACGTGCAATGATTCATGTGATACAAGGTTGGCTTTACTTCTAAAATTATTCTATTGACACAGACATTTACATGGACAGTCTGGTGTAATAACAGATTTGGCTCGGGTACACTGTGGAGTGGCAGGCTAACTATGGCCATTGACTTGCGCTAGCCTAGCACCAACAACCTCTCCATATACAAGGACTGGATGGATTATTTCAAAAAGTGTCTCCACATATCTACAGTACTCTGGCTCACTAGGAAATGAAACCTTTGAAACCTGAACATTTTGAACTGTCCCTTTAAGTAAGTTTTAAGTAAACTTCAAGTCTCCGTGAACTTTTCTTTGTGATAAAATATAAAAATAGAGTTAAATTACATGCTTATAAACATCTGTTTCTGTTAAACATAGGCTACTGTAACCACTACACTATAGTAATGATTACCAAAACGCTGTGAAATTCCCAGGTCTGATTTAACCACATTAGCACACATAGATGTTGTATTTTGCTTATTACCAAAATATCTATTTATAGGTGTCTTTGAAGTACTATTGTTTAAATATATTCATGCTACAGAAAGCAATATCAAGATATCCAAAGTAGTTTACATGTCCTATAGTGCGCAAAATTGACTCTTGTGAGCGTTAAATTATGCTGTTGTATTGGTACCTCATCAAAAACAGACCTGGAGTTGTGTTTTGTTTCATTCACACATGTTTGAGTAACCTTAGTCTACCTACTTGTACATCTCGAAAGCTCATAATTAGGGATGTAACAATAACCGAAATATCGTGATATCGTTTCTCAAAATTCTCAAGACCCTCACAATATATTAAATTACAAATCTCTTTGCTTAAATTAAGAGATATGGTGCAGCAGTAGCTAAAAAAAAGACAGTGGGAACTACATAGACCATGACCCTTTGCTCCATTTCGTTGTAGACTACATGAAGAAATAACACTTCTAAGCACTTTTAAGTCTTAGTTCTTTGGATTAAGTCTTGTTAAGGCATTTTAAGAGAAAAAAACTATCATATTAACAGTTTTAGCTGTTTGCCTCCACAAAATATCGCAATAAATATCGTACCGTGAGATGTATATGGTGAAAATATCGTACCATGAGATTTGGATATTGTTACATCCCTAATCGTGAGCCTCCCCACCATATCGTGAGTTTTTTGACAATATCGAAATAAATATCGTATCGTGAGGTTCATACTGTTTTGTGAGACTTAGATATCATTACACCCCTACTCATAATGCTCCATAATAGTTCTACATTGTGATGTCATGTAGTGGTAGTTTTCAAGTTAACAGCTACTTTTTACCTTTAGTTCTGTAGAAATTGGTAATTCCAGGTTAGAAATGATCCAAATAGTAAAGGTTTTATAGCTCAAGAATACCTAGAAAAACATTCTGACTGTGAGCAGGGCCGCCTCTCCACAAATCTGACTTGTAACTTGGCGGAACAGAGTTGTTTTTTGTTTCAGAAAATAACAGCCTAAATATGCAGGGTTTGTGTGTTAAACCATCTGTAAATGAAACAAAACACAAGTCCAGGTCTGTTTGTGATGAGGAAACTACATTAAAACAAAGATCAGAAAATGAAGTAAGATGGGTCCTTTAAAAAAAATTAAAAAACAAAAAGCACAAATGAATAAACTGGGTCTTAAAACCTTCAGTCCATCTGTTCTGTTGCCAGTGTTTTGACCTCTGACTCGTGGTTCTGTCTGTCCTCCCTCACACTCTCGCTCCTGTCTTTGCTCTTCCCCTTGAACGGCCGCCCCAGTTTCATTGACAGCGATTGCAAGACGGTGCTCTCGTCGGGGGTGGAGCTCCGGCTGCTCCGCCCGCTGCGAGTGAAGGTGGAGTGGGTGCGGCTCTCGGAGTTTGTGGCCTCGAATAGTTTTCCCATGAAGCTGAGTCCGGCCCGGCGGATGTGGGAGCCCCCGGCGAACACGTACAGGATGGGGTTCACGGCGCTGCTGAAAAAGGCGAAGGCGGTGACGTTCGGGCGAGCCGTCAGGGCAGCTTTGATCACGGTCTGGCTGCCCTGTAACACGCCCGCCACCTGCACAAAGAGAGAAGAGACAGTGTCAGAAATCTTGCACTAAACACATCCAATCCCCATTTTTCAGATGACATCATTACATTTTATAGGCCAACATTATTTAATACAGATGATGGGCAACTAAAGGAAGTGCTCCACTGTGTTTTTAAACTCCACACACCTTCCCTAGAATCATTTGGATGTTGCAGACCTAGAATTGCCAATCAAACTGAATAAAATACCAAATGTCGCTCTTAACCTTTCCAGACCTAAGGGCAATTTTAGTACATTTGTCCTCGTCTGGATATTGAATTTTGTTATAAAACTCACACTTTTACACCCTAATGAAGTGTTATACATCCTTTTTCTCAGTAAAATCTGTTATTTCACAATCCGCATGCTGTAGTTGTGTCATATGGCTATAATAAAAGCTATAGGACCAGAGCTACAAATAGGCAAAAAAACTAAACAAAACAAAAAAACAAGAAAAAAAATCACACTCTTTCACACAAAACACACAGCAAACGTATAAACAACTTTTTGGACAAAATAAAAAACTTAATTTAAGGCGTTACAAAAGTGGAAAATATCAAGTCTGTAAAGAAACTAAAAATATCCTTATTGCCTCAAGAAAAAAAAAAAAACAAGAAAAGTGTAACGCCTCAATACTTGGAAACAGCTGGTGTCAGGTCCAGAGCACAGAGCCACATCACTTCCTGCATTTCCATGGAGTTTATTATTGACTGATTGCATTTATATAGCGCCTTTCAAGATACTCAAAGTGCTTTACAGTTCATTATTCTGTCACTCCACACTCAGTGGTGGTAAGATACTACTGTAGCCACAGCTGCCCTGGGGTAGACTGACAGAAGCGAGGCTGCCAATCTGTGCCATCAGCCCCTCCAACCACCACCAACACACCACTTTCATACTAGGCAATGTGGGTGAAGTGTCTTGCCTAAGGACACAACGACAGTTTTTTGCCAATGGTGCCTCACTGTGGCACCTAGAATTCCTAGTGTCTCCCATCCAAGTACTACCCAGGCCCAGCCTGCTTAGCTTCTGAGATCTGACAGGATCAGGCTTTTACAAACCGGTATGGCCACAAACCAATTACAAATTACATTTGGATTTGTACATTTTGACTGAAATAAACCTTTCAAATAAAAAAAAAGCAACGGATGCACAATTACACAAACCAAGATGTGTAATTTTCCATTTATTTGAGAAATAACTGCACTTAGAGCGGCTTTTTCAATTGTTACAAACACAGACGCTCAGAGCAGTCGATTATTTTGACTCACTAAACTCTTTGGCAAAGTTTGGGCCAATCAAAATGGATGGAGCACATGAGTTTGGTGGAAAACAGCGTTCCTACTGGACACTCGTTTTCTTTTATGCGGGGTTATATAAAACATATTAACAGGCATCATATATGATCTCGTCGGGCTGAAAGGGTTAACTTAATAACTACCTCTTCATGACATCATGAGGTGGAACAGAGCATTCTGAGCATTGGAGATGTAGACAGACTAATAATAAAAGGTTACTCAAAGGTGTGAATGAAAGAAAACACAACTCCAGGTCTGTTTTTGAGGAGGAAACAACATTATAACATGGCTTAAAGCTCACAAGAATCAATTTTGTGCAATATAGAACTTTGAAAAATTTCTTTTATGACACATGTCTGATTTGGAAAGCTCTTCTGGGGTCTTTTTAAAAATATTTATTGTTATTATCATTTGTGCTTCTGATGACCTGGACCTGAGTGCAGTGTTTAATTTCTGTGTACTTTTTAGACTGAAATGACAAATAAATTCTGATTCTTGTTTTCAACACATTTGGTGAATTAAATAACAGCACAGTTTCATGTTTGTGTTGAAATCTTCATGTTGTGAAACTGTCTTGAACCAGGAAATAGTTGCGACAGCTCCTCACATCAAACCAGCGGTGGGTACTCAACTTTGTTAAATAATAGTACAGATACAAAGGCAAAATGTTACTCAAGTAAAAGTATCACGTGAAAAAATCTACTTTAAGGTGCACTGTGTAACTTGTTGTTTGGGGATCCATCACCTGCTTGTTTCTATGGAGATGTTATTGCTCTGCCTGGAATGTTCCACAGTATGACGTTAAACAGCTCTATACTACAATAGATTTAGGGGTTGCCTCTCCACAGATCTGACTTGCCACTTGGTCTGGTTTGGTGTCCATGAAGATAGAAAGGTTTAATGCCATACTGTGAAACATTAAAGACAAAGCAATAACATCTCAATAAAGAAAAGCATTTGATGGACCCTCCACCAGAAAAGTTACACAATGCACCTTTAAGTAAAAGTATTAAAGTACCCATTTAAAAAAAATACTTTAAGAGTAAAAAGTAAAAGTATTTCACACAGATGTTGATAAAGTGTTGTATGTTCAAGTGTTACATGTAGTGATATTGAATTCAAAATGGTACAGATTTTGGTCAGAAGCAGCAATACAAATCAGTTTCTTAATTTTCTCATGAATTTTGTGTTTTTGTTTTTGGTTGCTCAAAACCGAAACAGAAACCCCAACCCTCAGTCATTAGATGTTACCACAAACATTGTAAAAAATATCCTCTAACATCATATGAAAAGTACTTGTTACTTTTAAATCCAATTGAAACATGTAGTGGTGTAGAAAGTACAAATATCATCTCTCAAAAGAATAATGTAGTAAAAGTAAAATAGTACCCACTGTATAATTATTTTTTTACTTTCCATGACTGCATCAGTATTACTCAGTGTACTCCTGATAAGGGAAGTGCAAAAATATCAAAATATCAATATTTAACGTAGTGATACAGTATAGATATCAGGCACTGCTGTATCGATATATCGCCAAAAGTATGTTGTGTATATTTTACTAAGTTATTTTGTTACAGCTGCAATTTTGTTGCTTCTTTGGAGGATGGAAATTGATTCATGCAACACATTGTTTTGATGATTACAATCGGTGTGTTTCATATTCACTTGTACAAAAAGTGGTTTAAACAAATTTTTTTGTGTCACAGTCATGATTTAGACTTCATTTTTTATTGAACCATATCAAATCGATTTGAAATATATCGTATCGAAGCGAAAGTGCACTGTATCAGGATAGCACACTCAGATGGCCGATGTCTAAAAGCTCATTTCACTTTCAAACATCGTCTCGGCAAAAAAGGCCTTTGTCAGATACTTTTCTTGCTTTGGACCACAGTATCATATCATGGCCTATGTATCGAGATATGTATCATATCAGCTTCAACTTCTGAAAGATATCCAGCCCTCCTCCTGATGCATATTGTATTTGTAGTGAACTTTTGGACACTTACTTTATGTTGCATTATTTAAAGGGCCCATCTCATGCAAAATCAACTTTTCGGAGCTTTCTACCTTCTAAGAGTGATGTGTGGGCCTTGTATATGTTGCTGAAGTGGTGTTTAGATTGATTCTGTGATTTTTTTAACAAATTGCTGCATATTTCTGCCACCCTCCCACGTGACAATGAACTAAAGCTGCTATAACGATGACGCGTTTGACGTAGCAAAAAGTGATTCGCACCCGATCCCCTCCCCTCCACCTCAAATCGGCTGACAATTTCCACATGAACACCTAAAAAAAAGTGTCAGCATAATTAATTGTTCTACACTGCAGTGTACACGATATAGTACGTTTATCTACTAGTGTTTATTAATACTTTACCAATCAGTCATGTTCAGTTGATGTGGACGCGGTGCTTGAGCTTTGTGCACCTCAAGTCCGATTCCGGGTCCAACACATGTGGCTGAACGCGCTGTATCGCCATGATGAATAAAAGTTTATTCCTACCACTATCAGGGTGCACGTCTGTCTCCCCCTCCCTCCCTGAGATGGGTGGAGGAAGGGCGGCTCACTCAGAGCCTACGTCACGTTTGGAGGGCGGAGCCTGTGCTTTCTCAGGACGGATGGAGGGATGAGCAATAGTCGGACTTTCATAGTTCCTGGTCTGTGACTGTCTCCTAGAAATCAGTAAGATTGTGTAATGGATGTTCCAAAACCCAAATTGTGCTTGTTTATGTGCAGAAGATACAGTGAAAAGAGTTATTTTGCATGAGATGGGCCATTTAGAATGGCATTAAAACTTGACTCTGTATTTATTCAGTGACAGGTGTTTTATTTAAGAAAACTTGAACCTTGAAAATTACATTCTTACTATGTCAGGGTTTGCTTCTCCATAGATCTGACTGGTACTTTACTCTGGTGATGCTGCGTGTCTGTCCCCATGGAGGTACATAAACTAAATGTCGTACTGTAGAGCATTCTACAAGATCAAACATCTCCATGGAGACCAGACAATACTGGACCCTCCCTCGGAAAAGACATTACATTGCGCAGCATTAATGTAACTCCTTTATATTACATTTACTTAGCCAACACGGTGATGCAATGGTCTGACTTCAGAACTCAGAACTGTGTCCTTGGGCAACACACTTCACTTTACACACTTACATGACCAAAAATGAGTCTAGAAACACTTTTTGTCAGTTACTTTTCTTTTATAATTACATTGTAGATTCTTACTAAAGGCATGAAAACGGAATGAACGCATATGAAATGAAACAAAAAATAAACTTTAGAACTTGTTTTAGATTAAAAATGTAAAACGACCAACATTTTGCTTTGAACCTTGTTTGCACTTCGGGTTTTTACGTACTTTTTAGTATTTCCTGACCCTGACTACTTCAGCAATGTCACCTTTAACTTCAGACTGCTCTTTTGTTTTTACTGTAAATTGTCAGTTTTCTACCAGGTTTAAAGTGTTATTGTCTGCTTCAGGACATGAAATTTAGATGCAAATTAGAAAAGCACTCAGAGAGCGCAGACCTCCGCCAAGGACTACAGTCCCCCTCATATTAATTGTGTTTTCCATAAATATTTGTCTCGTATCTTTCAATTTGGAATATGAAAGAGGATCCCATTGTCCATCCCTGAGTCAAATTTCATGGGGTTTGGTCAATAATTAACCGAGATATTGAGAAACAAAATTTTTGGCCCCATTTACCACAATGTTAACTAAAATTTCAAAGTGATCCAGAATCCAGGATTTCTTCCGGATCACCCCCAAAATGAAATCAGTTCTTCCTTTTCACATTTCCAACAAATCCTGAAAATTTCATCAAAATCGGTCCATAACTTTTTGAGTTATGTTGCTAACAGACAAACAAACAGACAAACAGACAAACGCCGGCAAAAACATAACCTCCTTGGCGGAGGTAATAAAACAATATTGATACTTTGCAGCAGCATTCACTGGGGGTGCGATGTTAACTCGAGGCACTACTCTGTCTGAAGCTCTGTTAGTCAAATTTTCAAATGTTCAGTGGAGGATCTGCTACCTACTTGTCTCCGTGGAGATGTTAATGCTTTGTTTGGAATGTTTCACAGTATGGTATTAAAACTTTCTATCTACAAGGAGACCAAACCAAATTACAGATCAGATCTGTGGAGAGGCGATGCCGCTCACAGTCCAGTTCCCAGTTTTTCTAGGTATTTTGGAGCAATAAAACCACCTGTAATTGAATAAATGTAAAGTAGAGCTGTTTAATGCCATACTGTGGAACATTTAAGGAAGAGCACTGACATATCCATAGAAACAAGCAGGTTAATCTGAGTTTTATTTTAACACCGTCCTGACCAGAAAGAGCTGACATAGCTGGAACTACAGCAGCTGAACTGATTTGTGCCGTCTCTTACACTGAAAATTACAGTCACAAGATATGTAGTATTTGCCAGCAGTTTTTCATTTCATTTCATTTTTTCAGTTTTTTTGAGTGCTTTTATTTATGCAAATTAGCCATGTGGTTTTAAGTTTCATTTCTGTAAAACGTAAACAAATATGCTCGAAGCTGTGTGGATAGGGAAGACTTGCGGACACAAAAACGACGTACCTGGATGCAAATCATTTCTGATATGATGATACGCGGATTTGTTTCAGTGTAAACGTAATCTTTGATATTGATCCGTGTGCATAATCTGTATCAACAGTGCATTTTAAACCTGCACCCCTCTGAACACGACCCCTTTGCCCTCACCTCGATGATGTTGACGATGTGGTAGGGCACCCAGAAGACAGTGAAGGCGAGAACGATGAAGAGGATGAGTCTGCTGCCCTGGCCTTTGCGCTGGAACATGGCCGACTGTAAGCGACAGATGACCGAGGAGTAACAGGAAGTGATGAGAGAAAAGGGGATGAGCCAGCTCAGCACGGTCTCAAACAGATACTGGAACACCTTGTGGTTCATGTTCTCTCCATGATAAGGTATGCACAGGTTCACGGTCATGTTCAGGATGCGACGTTTAATGTTACTGCCAAAAAATAAAACAAGAAAAAGAGATTAATCCAGGAGTTGAATAAGTATTTTAAAGGTCTTATATTACACTAAATTCACCCTTGTGAGCTTTAACCCATGTTATAATGTTGTTCCCTCCTCAAAAACACACCTGGAGTTGTGTTTTGTTTCATTCACACATGTTTGAGTAACTCTTTATTATTAATCTGTCTGCATCTCCAAAACTCAAAATGATCTGTTCCACCTTGTGATGTCATGAAGCGGGGCAACAGTAGCTAATTTGGTAGAGCATTTGCTGTTAGAGTCTCAAACAGTATTTAATTCCATTCAGATCCTCTTACATTTTACGCCACGCTGATCAGATATTTTTTGTTGTCCCAAGAGAAAAAACAAAATAGGAAAACACTCATTTAAATATAAAGCTCCTTCTGATTGGAACAGTCTTCCTTCATCGACTCGTGCAATAACTTCTGTCCCTTCATTTAAAAATGCTCAGGTTCAATATTTACAGAGCCCATTGTTCGTAATTGTTTTTGATCATTTTGTTGAATTTTGTTGTTCATCTTGTTGTATTCTGTGATTATCTTTGAACTCTGTTTTATGTTTTAGTTTTTTTTCCTCAAATTTGTTTTATTATGTGTCAAACAGTCAAGTGTGAGTGTGTGTGCGAGTGTGCATGCGCGTGTGTGTTTGTGTTGATTTTGTTGTTTTGATGCTTGTTTGAATTTATGTATCCTGCTGTCTGCCCTACTGTATCTGTCTTTTGTCGTAGTATTTGAGTACCCCCTCAAAAACGAGATGGCAAAACATCTCAAGGGGCTTATCCTCCAAACAAATTCAAATAAATTCAAATGTGTCCATCATCGGTTGGCTGGTTTGATTCCAGCTCCCACAGATGAATGCTGTTGTTTTATCCTTGGGCAACTTAACGCACCTTGCCCTAGTGTCTGTGTACACTGGTGTATGAATGTGTGTGGATGGGTGAGTGCCTTCAATCTGGAAAATCACCAGATAAAAATGTGACCATTAACCAAGCGATAGTTTTCAAGTTCCTTTTGCTGAAATTATCCAAATCGTTAGCCTAATAGCATAACTACATCATTTTTTTGGCCAAATTGTGATATCTGCCTAACTTTACAATGTGCTTGCTAAATAATGTGTTTTTTTCTTGTTTTCCGAAAATGTTGAAATATGAATTAGGCAACTATGCTATTTGACTAACGAAATTATTTTACAGAGCGGAGCACTTGCTGTATCACCACATGACATCACAAGGTAAAACAGAGGCTACGTTCAGACTGCAGGGCTTAATGCTCAATTCCGATTTTTTTGTGAAATCCGATGTTTTTGCGAGGTCGTTCACATTTCCAATTAAATGCGACTTGTCTGTGACTTCAGTGTGAACGGTAAACGACCTGAAAGTGTCCCGCATGTGCACTGGAGACATGATGACATCAACCCCATGCGTCAACCTCAGCGAGCGTGCTCTGTGTTTACGGAAGTTGTCCAAATATGGTCGCGAGCATTGAGCACCTGGCGATTTTACAGTTCCGGTTTCCGCCTGCTTCAGCGCAGAATAGTGACGTTTCGCTTGTTAATGACGTGTAGGTCAGATGGATGCGCTTTGGCCGTTCACTCTGAAGTCGCATGTCAAAAGATCGGATATGTATCGGATTCAGGACCACATATCCAAGTGGCCTGGGTCGCATTTGAAAAATTCGGATCTGTGCCTTTCAGACTGTCATTAAAAGATCGGATACAGGTCACATAGAAGCCAAAAAATCGGATTTGGGTCACTTCAGGCTGCAGTCTGAACGCAGCCAGAGTGTCTTCTGTTTGAGGAAGGAACTCTAAATATGCAGGGTTTGTGTGTTAAACATGTGTGAATGAATCAAAACACAACTCCAGGTTTGTTTGTGATGAGGAAACAATATTAGAACATAAATCAGAAAATAGTGTAATACAGGCCCTTTAAGGTCCCGTACCTGACTTTGAACCATACGTGAAGAACGTCTTTTACAATAAACTGTTAGCCCCGCCAATTTAAAGCCCATTTCCACCGGTCCTTATTTGGCCAAGTACCGTATCCATGGAAACGACCAACAGCAAATCAATTGATACTTTGCAGTTGAGGTCATCAACTTTCCCTGGGGGTGTGACGCTAACTCTAGACACTGCTCTGTCTGAAGCGCTGTTGCTCAAGTTGGATTTTAATCGGAGCTTTATTTTATCTGATTTAGCTGGAACCACAACGGGTGAGCTGATTCTTAAACAAGTCCCAACCGTTGTCAGTTAGTCACTCTGCATTTTTGTTGAAAATCAAATTCCTAAACAGGACCATGAGCAAATTGTTCAAAAGTAAGTAGTCAGTACAAAGCATATTAAGCAATTTTATTTTTATCTATGTTGTTTCGTGATAAAAAACATACTTGGAGTTTTGTTGTGTTTCATTCACATGTTGGTAATACAGGACACTTCAATAGAATTATTTGGATAATTTCAGCCCTGGAATTGTCAGTTTCTACTAAACTAAAGGTATAAGGCAGCTGTTAACTTGAAAACTACCTCTTCATGACATCACAAGAAGGAACAGAGCATTTTGAGTTTTGGAGATGTAGACACACTAAAATCAAAGGGTTATTCAAACATGTGGGAATGAAACAAAACACAACTGTGGGTGTGTTTTTGAGGAGGTAACAACATTATAACATGCCCAAAAGCTCACGAGAGTTAACTTTGCGCAGTATAGGACCTTTACAAAACCAGAAGACAACAGTGAGTTTGCTAATAATGAAAAAAATAAAACCATAGGGTTAAAAACAACAGTTACCTGCGATAGAATGGCATGGGGATGGACAATATGAAGGCCATGATCCACACACCCATGAGGAGAAACAGCAGAGCCCGCTTCGTCCTCATTCTCTGGGACAAGAAAGGCCTCGAAACAGCCAGCCACCGGTCCAAACTCATCAGACAGATCAGGTAAATGGAAACGTACATGTTGACGCTGCATAGATAATGAACCAGCTTACACGCCACAGACCCAAACTCCCATCCTCGACCTCCAGCGAGATAACGGAGAAACAAAGGGGCGCTGAGCAAAACCAAAGCATCAGCGAGGGCGAGGTTCAGGATCAGAACGCAGGTGACCGAGCGCTTTTTCACTTTGCACAGCACGGACCAGACCACGAAGAGGTTCCCGGGGAAGCCCAAGATGAAGGCCAGCGTTAAGATGGCGATGCCCCCTCGAGCTGAGGCCGTGATGGCAGAGAGGTGAGGGCGGTGGGGGCAGAGATGGAGGTGTTGGAAGACATGATGAGAACCAGTGAAGGGGATCTTGAGATAGAAGACTGAATCTGAAAGAACAAAAGGAAGTTAATGTAGTAATACAGTTGACCTGTTGAAGCTGTTGCCATAGTACTGGAACTTTAACAAGGAAATTTTCATGGAACAAAGCAGGTTGGACTAGATCATTTCTTTTAGACTCTGACTCTGACTTTGACTTTGACTGTGTTTCACAGCCCTTCCCCCATTTTCTTCAGCTCTGTGACTTGGACCTATCACTCCAAATTGAAATAGATCATAAGAGACATTTCCTGTTCACATGTTGCACACAAAAGACAGACTCTCAAACAAAGCTACTAACCTACATTGTTTTTCCTGTCATTACAAACTGACTGAAGAAATTCAGATAAGCTGATTATAATCGAGACACTGACTGAACAATCTCAGATACAATGACTTTCTCTAAAGAAAGAAGAGGAATGAAATGGACTCTTCCATCTATGAAATATTGCCAGTGTATTTTAATATTGATTTGTAAATGTCATGTGAATACTTTTATTTGTGTAAAACTGTTAATGGTTCATAATGCAATTGTGGCCTCATCCCCCGCACATATACACTATTTTTTATACACACACTCATTGTTTAGCCTTTCATGGTGAAACTGAGTGGTCACAAAAGGACATAGTGCCTTTCACCACCGGGACCCCCAGGCTAGTTCAGTTTGATGTTCTCCCAGTTCAGGGATGTAGAGACAGCCAGAGAGGAGAAAGAGATAGAATAGGTCGATTAACAAAGACATTTCACAAGGGACAAAAAAGTTTTCTCTCTCTGTAAAAATCTGTGCCCGTTTTTTAATGTATTTTATCCAAAGTTCTGTAGCTGATCTGACTAAAAGCAAAACTTTCATATTTTTCCAACTTTAAATATTTGCATTTTTGTATCCAACACCGCCTGAGCCTGGAAATATTGTTTAGATCACATGGCCTTTGTTCATTTCAGTTCGTTTGATTCTTCATAACCGACGTCCTGAGAACTTCAGACCTTCATTGGACCTATCAGGACCACATTGTGTCTGGACAACACCCACGCTCCCGGGTCGTATGCGCACAGGTCACATGGCTTGATTGATCAGTCTAGACTCAACACATAACTTCAGATAACTCATAAAGTTGTGGCTACTCTCAGATCTCTATACACCAGCGTAAGGCAACCTACACTCATTGCCTTATTTCATTTAAATGCTTCTGCTTAACTTGGTCAATAAATATTCATAAACCACAGATTGAGTGTAGAATAATGATTCTATTATTATTATTATTATTCCCAGGTACGGGTCACTGATATGGACAAGAACTTATGAACCTTCAGAATAATTCTTTAATTAATTATTAGTTAATTAATTAACATAGGTAATTGATTATATTGTATTGGTAATATTTTTCAACATTTGTTGAGTGGTGCCCCAAAACGCTCACAAAGGCCACGTGAGTATTTGTGTGTTAAACATGTGTGAATGAAACAAAACACAACTCCATGTCTGTCTGTGACGAGGAAACAACATTATAACATTTATCAGAAAATAGCACAATATGGGCCCTTTAATAATTATGTAAACACAAGAAAAAACAACCATACCTTATTTATGTCCCTTGCAGGGTCCCGTACTCTTACTCCAACGTAAACAAGTAAACAGCCGCTCTATGGTCTTGCTGCGCTTCCCCTCACTGCTCCTCTCATTCTAACTTGAGGACTTCCCCAACACTGTACAAATTCTGTAACTCTTTCAAATTGAGAAATAGTGATCATGTGATGGGAAACGCAGTGACCACATACCCCGAAAGTTCTTCTTTTATTACATCAGCAGCTCGGAGATCCTGCCGTGTGTTATAAAATACCAGGTCGCTAATGGACTTGTATTTGCTCGGCTGTCATCCGGAAAAAAATTGTGCAAATGGAAAACAACCTGAGTCGCGTTTTATCAAAGGAGGATTGTGAAATTTGGGAAGTGAATGAAAATGAAAATGCAGTATTCTTGCTTACTATCTAGAACTAGATCATTTGAAACCGTTTGCAGTGGTCCAAAGTTATTCCTCACTAGGGGTATAATATAATATATTACAATATCAACATCATGGGCTGCTGTATTGATATACTGTCAAGAGTCATTTTTGGTATTTTTTATCACTGTTATTTTGTGACAGTGCTACAGTTTTGTTGCTTGTTTAGTGTAAGGAAACTTCACTCACATATTCACTGTTTTGATTATTCAAATGTGTGTGTTTTTCATATTAACTTTGCACACGAAATGGTTTGACAAAAACTTTTAGAATCACACCCATGATTTAGCCTTTGTTTTTTATTTTTTAACCACACCGAATCGATTTGAAATATATCTTATCAAATTGTACTGATTTGGAAATGTGCTGTATCAAGTTGTGTATCACATCCTGGACTATGTATCACTTTTGTTTCATTTATTTGACAAGGACACAGTGGGAGCATTAATCAAACAAACACTGAAGAGATGCTTTGTACCTGACTATAACTCTCGGAGGTCATTTCCACCTGCAGTCACTGAGACACACAGAACACAGAATACAAAAATAGCATAAACAATGCAATCTATATATCAGGGATGCTCACACTTTTTCATCATGTGAGCTACTTACAAAATGACCAAGTCAAAATGATCTACCTAATACAAAACCAAGCAAACTGCACTGAAACACTCTGTGCCCCTTTTTTGGACCCTCACCCACAGTTTGAGAAGCCCTTCTTTAAGAGAACTTCCTCTGGCTCTTTACACAAAACTGTGAAAAAAGTGACGGAAGTAGGTAAGATTTTTAAACCTGTTTTTTAAAGTTCCAAACTGGAGTTACATTCTTTTCTGGTTTTGCAGTGATATTTACCAGCCTCTGCACATTTACCAAACCAAACGCACATCGTGACAAACACAGATGCATTTGTGCACTTTTGTTAGACAAACTTCAGCCAAATGTGGCAGTAGGTCTGTTCTGTAGATCCGCTCTATGCTGTAGACCTGCTTTGTGCCAACACTGTAACACAAATTTAGACTGGTTTTTGCTTCACGTTTGGTCTTGCTCTTCTAATCAGCCGCACTGTGGGAGGGGCTTGTGTTGGCTGTACGCAGGAAGGAGCGAGAGCGTGAAAAGGCGAGGGGCGGCGTGCTGACGTGAGGCAGATGGACAGGTAGGATGTTTAGGAAGTTGAACCTGCCCTGTGATGCTGGTACACGAGGGCACACGCTGTCGCAGACGAGCCGTGCATAGGGAGCGTGTGTGTTTGTGATGTGCCGTAGAGTCTCCGCGGGTTTCAAATGAGCGCACAGGCTGCACTGAGACGCCCCACACGCTCCTGCACCCGCTACAAGTTTATTACCAACAGCAGCGGCCGTAATGAAATATGATCACACTTGTTGAGTGTCAGACCTTGAGTGAGAGACAAGACCGAGTCCAAACGCGAGTCTGAGACGAGTACTAAGACACGGCGATCTACCCACACGACCTTGGCGATCGACTGGTAGATCGGGATCGACGTATTGCGCACCCCTGCTATATACAAACAGTTAAGGCAACAGGAGAAATTCTATTTGTCAACTGGACAAAAGTTTATTTGGTCGAATCATTTCGCAGCTTTGCCTCAAGTGGAGGAGTTCAAGTATCTCGGGGTCTTGTTCACGAGTGAGGGAAGGACGGAACGTGAGATTGACAGGCGGATCGGTGCAGTTTCGGCAGTGATACGGTCGCTGTATCGGACCGTTGTGGTGAAGAGGGAGCTGAGTCGAAAGGCGAAGCTCTCGATTTACCGGTCAGTCTTCGTTCCTACTCTCACCTATGGTCATGAGCTCTGGGTAGTGACCGAAAGGACGAGATCACGGATACAAGTGCTCGAAATGAGTTTCCTCCGCAGGGTGGCTGGGCGCTCCCTTAGAGACAGGGTGAGGAGCTCAGTCACACGGGAGGAGCTCGGAGTAGAGCCGCTGCTCCTCCACGTCGAGAGGAGCCAGTTGAGGTGGCTCGGGCATCTGTTCCGGATGCCTCCTGGGCGCCTCCCTCGGAGGTGTTCCGGGCATGTCCCACCGGGAGGAGGCCCCGGGGAAGACCCAGGACACACTGGAGGGACTATGTCTCTCGGCTGGCCTGGGAACGCCTCGGGGTCCCCCCGGAGGAGCTGGAGGACATGTCTGGGGTGAAGGAAGTCTGGGAGTCCCTGCTTAGGCTGCTGCCCCCGCGACCCGGCCCCGGATAAGCGGACGAAAATGGATGGATGGATGGATTTCGCAGCTCATCCAAGCTGCTTCTTCAGTTCTGGTCAGAATGCTGGTGGACACTTCCTTATATTTGCCTTCAGGGAGGAGCACTAGTAGGTGTGTTAGTTTTAGTGTAGTTAGCTCCTCCCGGCAGGCAGATATAAGGAAGTATCCACCAGCATTTTGACCAGAACTAAAGAAGTAGCTTGGATGAGTTGTGAAACATATTCGACCAAATATACTTTTGTCCAAGTTGACAAATTGAATTTCTCTTTTTGCCGAGATTCTACTTGGATGACTGAGGGACTTTTCACATACAAACAGTAATAAAAAGTACAACATTAAACATCTCTGTCTCATTCCCACCCTGTTCCCTCCATGCTTCTAATCAGGTTTAATTTAGTTCTTAGTTAATGTTGGCACTTCTGCATTGTTAAAAAATATGTTCTAAATAGGGTGGGACAAGATACAATTTGGTCAAGACGAGACACGAGACTGGATCTACAACGAGACAAGAATTTGACATTGTGTACTATAAACAAATTCTGAATTTAAGTTCCCAATTTTATTCTCACTGTTTTGCTTTATTTAGTAGTTTCCTGTACTACTGCTTTTTGTGACCACAGCTTCTCAAAAAATTTATCTTGAATCAATCGATTTAATTTTCAGTCTGTGTGAACGATATTGTGGCAATTTTGTCTCACAAGATCTTTTCCTGTCCCTAGTTTTTAATTCAGCACGCAACTTTTTGATGTCTGTGCATAGTTTTTTAAATGTGCTGGTAATTTGTTCTAGTTTTGAAAGAGAATACTGATTTATCTAACAGTTTTTTATTTAGGTGCTACGCTGGCCTCTGCA